ATAGATCATTCATTTTAGCACGCAAAGAGACCACCAAGCCCACACAGAATTCCAACCATTCCTTTAGAAATCTTGCGGCACTTCTCAACGACCTCAACCCTATGAAGCCATAAAAAAAATCAGTTTTTTCGTAATAATGCACTGACTTGGATTAGCATGGTTAGCCGCTAAAGCTTTAAACCTTTACCTCAAATCTGCTTTCTGCACAATTACAATTACTTGTTAATCCGTTTTGCAGGCATTGTGGCTTGTAAGAACTTGTTAGCAACGGCCGGTAAGACAATTAAGAGCATTCAGAATCTCCTATCGCCAGACTTCTTAGCGAGCTGTTTTCAGTTCGTACACGCAATAAAAGGCAGCATCAAGAACAATACTGATTCGAACGAACACGTGTATCAAGAAAAACTTTTGGACTGAGATATTGTTTGAGATACTGAGACCATGTACTGTCTCACATATTGAAACCATGGAGGAATGCTCGTGAGTCAAGATATTTGGTTGGTACACAAAGTAACGTTTCGTCTCATGCATAAACTCTCTTCGTTAAAAGTCGCTATGAATGTGCAGTGTTTCAGCGGTGCAATACAAATAATACCACAATCGACAAATTAAACGAACCCTAGACGTAAGCACCCTTTCAAAGCACTTTTTTTTTGGAGGGGGAGACAGGGAGTGAGAAAGGCAAAAAAAAAATCCTTCAAGAGATAAAGCGATAAACAGAATCATGTAAAGCAAGCCAAACAGAGCACACCTAGGGAGAAAAACGCAAAACAGCAACAAAAAAATAATTCATGCACCACCTGACCATGAAAAATAAATTCCTGCTCAGAAAAATTGCACTTCCCCTGCTCCCCTCCACCCTCCCCAAAAACATAATGGTCCATCGCTAATGAACAGTGTAATTACTGCTCAACTAATCTGATCCTTGGAAAATAAAAAGAGGAAAATTTGGGTTATGGAAATTGATTAACCCTTAGCAGTTACAAGACCCGGAAAAAGGAAAGTTATGGTTTACAATCAAGATCAAAATAAACACTAAACACACCTCGGGAAACATGCTGTAGAGGGAAGAAAGGTAACGTACTGATTAGGCCTCCAAGCGAGGGGGCCATACAGCGCTTTCGTAATTTACACACAATTGAAAATTGCAGTGATCATTCCGGCTTCAAATGCTGTATTCTGTGATTCTGCGTTATATTAAGTTAATCTTTCGTATTTACTTAATCACTGAATCCAACTAGAAACAGAAAGTTTCACTTGTTTTGATCGCAATTTAGTTATACTAAAAAAAGTGTTTATCAACTTTCCTACGAAATATTGAAAGGCAACTGTCTGCAAGTGTACTTAAGAGACACTAAGACTAATATGAATAATTTATTCTACAAGAGCAAATACTGCGATCCCATCGTTTAGTAACGTGATTTGATTCAAGAAATCTCGTGTTACCAAGAGGAGAGTCCTCTCTTGACGGATAGTTGACGTTCAAGCTGTCATGATTTAAAAATTTGCTTTTTGCAATGGATAGAATGGTTACAAGGTGTCCTTCAGCCCATGAAATGACATTCGCATTTCACCGGTAGCATACTCAAATATGATTCGTAGTGAAAGGACGATGCTTTTTGCAAATCTGTGTTCTAATTCTTGTTCTTAGATTTGACGCGATTCTGAAGTAGTTTTACGTTAGCTCAGTCTAAAACCCATCCATATCGAGGATTCAGCATAAAACATGTTTCGGTTAAAAGATTATCTCTAGGCCTAGCAAACTATGTCAACAGGTCAGAACCTCGTGCATGCAAAACAGTTTTGTCACGCTACCATAACAAGACATTTTTTTTAAAATGTTTTTTTCAATTAAAGAATGAAACTGAGAAGCAATGCATCTTCTGGCTCTTTGTGTGGTTAACCATGTTAAGTAGAAAACAGACCATTAGCTAAGTTATAAATGAGTCATAAGAGAACCGGTAGTGAAAACTATAGGGAACATTTAACTGGATTTACGAACCATCCTCGCTCAAAGAAAAGCTATGGGAAAATTGAAATTACATTTTAAAAAAAAAACAATACTTGACCCTTGGTGTGTACGTGTGTACATGTACCTTTATCATGCGTCATGAGATATGGGCGTGAATTCCAACACAGCAGACCAACTCGTGAGTACCCAAAGCGACAGTGACTTGTTTCTTTTGGTCAACCGATTGAAAAAGAATTAGGTACAATTATCTAACGCATTAACATACTAGAACAAAATGTACTTGAGCATTTGTTTTCTTTTACTCTGGAGCAAGGCTCAATGTTTTGTTTAGAAACAAGCCTGTGTTTTCAGAACATCAAAGGTTCAATAAACTACCAAATGTCTTTTACATATTTACATCTTAGGAGCGGAAGATTTTAAGGCTGTAAAACCGTTGACTCTTATCTATCATCATGGCTAACATGATCTTGCGGGTTCATCTAATTTAACCATTTACAGAATAAAGGTCCATCACAGTTTGATGTCCCGATTGAAATCAATGCAGCTTCGGGAATCAATAGCCCCAAGCTAGGAGCTTTATTGAAATACACAAGTTGGCCATCGATCAGTTCAGTCAGTTTCACAGCCCCTTATCTTTGCTAATAGCAACAATAAATCGTTCTGATTTCCTTGATTATGAAGCGCCTTTGCCTTCTAAAGAAACTAATTACAACCAAGAAGTTCAGTCCGCATGTTGCACAGTGATGACAACTGTCTAACCATGCTTGCTATAACTCTGTGTCTTCAAGCACGTGTACCTTGAAACGGTACCCATTCATGGTGTATTCCTTGATCGTTTGCACTTCTTGTACCTGCAGAATTTGTACCAGTAAATGAGCCACCTTGTCTAGTTTGGCTCTGTTGTTGTGTCGTGGCGTGTGTTCATTGTAAAGTTCTGTTAACTCGTCGAATCTCGAGCTGGGTAGCTTTGCAAATTGTTGTTCCCTAGTTTGTTTAGCAGCGCCGATCTTCGACCGGCGTAGAAAGAAAGCGGCATTTTCCAAGCTTGTCTTTAAGTTTGTTGAGGGCATTCCTCTATAAAGGAAGTTCTGGCCGTCTGTTTCGGCAGCAGATGAGCCAACAATTCCTCCGAATGACGATGGAAATTTTCTGCGTCCAAGAGATTGTACTTTAACTATTGGTACGAAAAGTCTGATCCAAATGTCTCCTTGACTGCCGGTTATCAAATTTTACGCATGCAGTTTGCCCACTTTCCTTTGTTTATCTCGCTGTGATCATCTTCCGGAGCATCTTGACAGAACAGAAGAATCTTGACCTCTGCCGACTAGAGTAAGCCTTTACCTTGACCAAAGAAGATAGGTTCACGGTTAGCTTTTAGCAGATTGCTATCACTATATAAATACCTATGTGTCACAAATCGCGATGCGTGCTGAATCCAATATAATACAATGCTGTCTCGAAACAGCCAGGAGAAAAATGTACCCTCGGCATCCAAACGTTTCAGTAATTACCTCGTTCGAAAATGTCGTTGACCTGTTTTTCGGCTGCTAAACGGTGAATGGGCACCTTTGTAAAGTTATCCCTAATGAGGTGTTGCGTGAAAACAGGTAATAAAACGTTGCGGTCGGCTGCAATGAATAGGTCTTGTGTAAGGTAAAGCTAAACAAAAGCAAATTAGCCCTTGCGGAGTGTAGAGTTCAATACGTGATTATCCATGCAGGCCTCTTTTATCACAATCACAGATGGAAATATGGAATTTTACTGACTTCGTTTCAATGCGCCGGCATTTAGTCGTTCTAATTTTCCTAAATCACCTGGAATAATCTAATCCTTTAGCATCTGGCAATAGTTAGACAAATGCTTTTAGGAAATACCCAGGCAAAAGAACAGAAAACATGACTGGAATGTGTTCAAATTGAAAGTGAACCATAGGCGTAAAAGATATAAACATCAACATGAAAAGTCATTGTCATAGCATGCCTTGAGGCAAGCATGCAGAGTAATTTTGTTATCAACACGAAACAAGTTTGTGACGAAATTCATTTGGAGAGCGAATCGGTGATATTTAGCGCATATTTTTCACCAGCAAACAAATACCTTATTCTATTATCTTGAACAGTCAGATAAATTTTTTCATTTATAGACTTACGAGCTGAAATGCGTATCTTATCTGCATATATTAGAAAACAGAACATACAATTGGTCTTTATATATAGCAAGGTATCAAAAATTCTTGAATGTTATTCTTTTTTTGACGTTAATGTAAGTAGAGTAAATGCGTAAACTACTAAACGGAAAACGTTCAGCGAGGTCAATTCCGACTATTTTTTGCTTAAAAGTTGGGATTAATGGATTTTACTATTGATCTGCTTGAGCAAACCTCCAAGATATTTCCTTTGTCGCTGCACTGGAAGGGAAGGTTAATCTAACTGTGATATCGATTAAAGACAGCTATGAATCAAAGGTTACAAAAGGGGCGGGAAATGTTATTTGACGAAATCTTTCAGGTCTGCCAACTGAGGACATATTCTAAGCATGCTGAAGTTATCGAACGAGGTATCATAACAAAGGTTGGAAAATTCGCTCGATCTTCTGAAGAGTGCAAGTATTTTACTGACTGACGAGCAGACCGCAAGGTCTGTGATCAGCGATATTTTGAGACGAGACTGAGCTCGAGCTGTGAGTAGACAATGTTGACGTAAAACGAGAACGTTCCATGAGTGTTCTCGTGAAAAATGATCTCCAAAGTAGCCACTTGCACTGTGGTTATGAAGTCATTGAACTAGCATGAGGTCTATTGGGAAAATGTTGCCGGTAACAAGGTAATTCAATAAGTAGTTTAAAAAGGTGTTTATTTTCTTATAATGACTCTTAAAATTGCTGGTAATGCTTCCACGCGATAATTCAAGATAAACTCTGCACCTGAAAGTTAGGTATTTATTTTTCTTCTTTTTCTCGGGTTACTTTCCTAAGAGATAAACTGAAATAATATTGTCTGCCAAACATGACAGAAAAATATTCTTCTGAATAAAAGAAACTGTTTTGATGTTTAGTGCAATGTTTGGAAAAAGTGATTCGCCGAAACTAATTCAGACCACACAGGCGGGACCAATCAGAATTATTCTTTTCATCATGAACCGGTCGGCTTCGGTGGTGGCAGAATATCACAATCCGTCGTGTTTTGGATACTGCACTATAAGTTATTTCGGTAGATCACTTAATATCTTTCGCAATGACAGCTAGGGAGCAGGAGTTTTCGCGAATTAAATGTATCAGGGCGGTAGTCTTCACCGATGTCGATGCCGGTTCAGTGTGTACATGCAGTACTACCCTCAATAAAATACGTACCCTATCATTGATTATCCTACCTTTCAGCTTCTCTTCTATCTGTCCCCCGTGCTCAGAAGGCGAAACGACTGTCCCGTTTTACTGGTTTTTAATAGCTTGGAGAACGCGGATTTCTCAAGACAATTACGCAAGACTAAAAGTGAAAACTGGTAAGGCTACACGAGAGCGTGTTTTGGGCGTAAAAGTGTGCGTGCTTGTTTGTTTATCATGACGTCAGGCGCGCATCCAGACAATAAATGGTGACAGATTTCCGAAACAACGAGCACCTCGAAATCCGGAGCCATACCCTCCAACAGGAAATGTTTTGGATTTTAACTCCCCAAAAGTTCCTGACTTCTGATCTGAGTCATTCCGTCTGAAAAAAATCTGACCGATCTCTCTAAATGGAAAGCAAAACCTCACGTCCGCACACATTTCGTCATCATTGTCCACAATTTCAGGCAAAACTTTTCTTCAATGCCATCTTTGCTGTGTTACTAACAGAAAGAAACACACCCCTACAGGAAGACTTGAAAAAGGTAAATCCACAACTCAGGAAGAGTCCACGCACATGAATAGTTGACAACCGCCACGTTGTTACGTCGCACTATTGTTTCGCGCATTTCCAAAAGTGGCATTGTGCCGGGCTGTAGGCGGTGGAGACCGGTATGGTTCGGTTCCTGTACATTGACGCCAC